CCCCCACCCCACCCCCCTCAGAGTCCCGACCAGAGAGACAGCCGTCGTTAGCGACGGTGCCGGAGCGCCGCCGATGCGATTTTCAAACGATCGTATGATTGGAAATTTCCTATCGTAACTCACAGACCGGAATAAAAATGCAATCGTGGTTTTTAACCCGCCAAAGAGTGCAAATGAATTAAGGGGGCATACCCGTTTGAATTCTCGAAAAATAAGTACATTTTCTCGATTTTTTTTGCAGTGCAATGATTTGATAAAAACTTTTTATTTTTTTACAATATTAATACAATATTATTAAGTACTTAAATAAAATCTTTCAGCTTAAAAAAATTTTTTTTTTTAAAGTTATGCGAATATTTGCAGATTTATATTTTTCATCATGCACAGTGTGCATGAAAACTCGATCTACGTTCGACGGATTGACTTTAAATTTTGTATGCGAGTTCCTAATAAGATTCCGCATCTGCTGACGAAGCCTTTTTTTAATCCGATTCCCCAATTTTTTGTTATAAACAAAAAAGATAGACTGTTTTTAAAAAAAAAGTAACTTTTTTTCAACACGCCGCCATTTTTTTATTTTTTAACATTTTGAAAAAATGCTTGGATAGCAGATAACTATTAATATGTTTAATAAAAGAAAACTTGAATTTTTTATTTCAGATATGATAAACGAACGTTTTCATGTACATCATAAAATTTGCAGAGAAGCTCTGCAAATATTCGCATAACTTTTTTAAAAAATTTTTTATTGAGCTGAAAATTTTTATTTGGGTAGTTAATAATATTATATTAATATTGTAAAAAAGTTAAAAATTTTTATAAAGTCGTTGCGTTGCAAAAAAATCTAAAAAAATGTACACATTTTTTAAGGTTTCAAACGGGTATGTCTCCTTAATGGCGCGTGTCATATACCACAATATTTTAATATTTAATATCAGATTTTCTGATAATCAAAACTGATAGAAAACTTTTGAAAAAGTAAAATATACCGAATTTCTTTTTACTCAACAATAAAATTCCATTCGATTATATTATATATAAGAAGCTTAATTCGCATATAGTTCCTCATTCTCAATTTCTTACGAAAATTATATGAAGTGAGAAATACTAATGATCGTTTCTAGTACGTTTCATCTCATTCTCTTCGTTATCCGCGTTCCTTTCTCACGATCCGCGCTCGGAGAAGGAGAAGAGGTTTGAGTGCGTATACTTTTGACGGAAATAGAGAGAGCTCGGTTTCGCGGGTAAGCAATGTGACGAAAACGAGAATGGTACCGGTGTTTACTCGCTTCCCGCCATTAAGGCGCAGGAAATGCCGCGGGCGCCCGTTTAATATTCGCGCGTCATAAAGTACCCTGGCTTCGAAAGTATACATATCGAATCGGGAATCACCCTAATGTCATACAAATCGAATCGCGTATAACTTGTAGACGTCGGGGCGGAGGAAGAAAAAGAAACGGCGCCACGCGCGTTAAGAATAAAATTATTTTTTCAATAAAACATTGTTTATTTTAGTTTGAAAGAATTAATTAATATGAAAAATTTATATTTAACAAATTATTATATCGATAGAAAAACACTGATATTTTACATATATGTACATCTGATTTTTCAGGGAACGTAATTTTTTAACCTTTAATGTAAAATTATCATATAATTATCATATAATTTGAAAAAACTCTGATTGGAATATATTTGATTCCAGGGTTCTATAATCTTGATCGAGCCAGTGCTGCTTTTTCGATTCCTCGGCGCGCGATCGAGCAGCGGTGAAGGGACGCGGCAAATGACATTGTTTATCCACCACGAGAGCGAGAAGAATCGTCCAAAACGTATAGTACACCGTAGTGGCGTCGTCGATCGGCGATTTGGCTTGACTCGGTCAAGCACCCTGGTGTGTACCAGCAATCTCAACGTCCTCGTTGGCCATGCATGCGCGCCAGAACTACCCCCTTCTTCCCGTTCGTGCTCGCCACCGCTGTCGGTGCCGGGCGTCGCGCGCACACGTACGAAGACGACGGCGTCGTTGTTGACGTTTGCACATGTGTACGTATCGGCGACGGAGGGTACGCGTACATGTCCGTCGAGTGGCGTCAGGAACCGCGTCGCCACGTTACTGGCGCGCCGCCGCTCCGCTCGCCGTGTCGCCGCGGATTCGCGCCGGCCGCCCTTAGGCGAGCCACACAACGACGACGACGACGACCACGGCCAGAACAGGGGTGGCGAGAGCCCCGACAGCGGCTCCAGTCGTCCGTACTTGCAGCACGCTCGCGCGTGCTGGTGTACGCGCTACATATTGCGCGGCGTTCGGTCGACGTCGCGACCAGTCGACGCTCGACGACCGTAGGAGTCGAGTCGAGTGTTGCCGATCGTGCAACTTCTACCTGAAATACGCGAATACGTCTTCCTTCTGATGTCAGTCTCCGTTGTATGAGATACGAAGAAAAATACGCGATTTTTCTTTCCATCTCCTTTCTCGGTATAACTCGGCATCACGCGCGTTAATTGGAAAACAAGGTCTCGTTGTTTGCACGATTTTATAAACCTCTTTTCCGATTTTGACGCTTAAAATCTCTAAATGCTTTGAAATCTTGTGCATTTTACTTATTCGTATTTATATATATTCACATTTATATAATTGTGAAAAATATTAAATTTTTTTTTAATATTATATAATCGCGAGAATTATGACGACTCATATTGATATATCTTATCGACAAATAGCAGTTTAATATGTATCGAGTAAATTAGTTGCTTCAATAACATCAGTTGCAAAAAAAAATTGCTCCTTATTAATTATATGCTACGAGTTATAGAAATTATACTGATTGTTAGTTTTTTTTTTTTTTTTCTATGCAACTCGTGATACCTTCGCGTAAGTTCGAATTCAATGTGGAAAACATTTCTACATGTGTTTCAGATATACGTGCCTCGTTTAATTGATGGAGTAAGGAGTACGCGCATAATAAAATTCAACGGTGTATTTCACGCGAAATCCTCCGTCGACGATTTCGTAATCGGCAGCGTTTTATACGCCGGCGTAGCACGTGCGCAGTATCTCGACCAATAGCGGAGAGTCTGCAACAGGTAAGAAACAATGAGTGAATTCTGCGATGTTGCGAAAATGCAAACCTAGAGTGCAAGTTGGAGGAAAATTTTCTAGAGCGAAAATTTCATCCGTGAACGATATGGATCGTTATAGAAAAATAAGAGATCTGTTTATTTTACTATTATAAAATTTAAAAATACGTGCGTGTATACAAAAAAGAAATAAACAGGCGCACACATTGATCGTCATAAAACTTTTTAATTAAAGACGTAAAGATGAGGGATTTACAGCTCGCGCTAGAGAAATAAATATTTATCGTATTTGAATAGTGATAATAATGCCGGGAACATCTCACTTCCTTATTACGTAATAGCCACCGAATAAATTAGCATTGCTCCCCCTCCTTCAACACAATGTTGTATCTAAAATCCATTTGGTATCGCGCACGTATTGCGTCAGACGCGATTGGAATGCGTTTCGAAGGCAGAGCGATGTAATCGCTTTACCTGCATAGTTTCCGTCAATTGAAAAGGCATGAGTGGCAGGTGTAAATATAGCAATGCCGCAACGCGATTTGTAAATATCACCGCCTCGGAAGGATCAATTCTCTCTCCATTATTTACGTTACGATGACCGTTCTATTTAGATTTGGCGTGCAGGAATTTAAAAACACACACACACACGTCTCGCGACATGGCACATCTTGCGAGCGAGCGATCGGTACGACATATTATCTCGTAATCGCTCGCATTAAAATTTTCTAATTATAAGTTTCACGTTCGCGCGAGGGGAGGGGGAGGGAAGGAGACCGTAGCCGGCTCCGAAAATTAGATCTATATCGATGTTTACTCGTTTTGTTGTGACAGCATATATACAGATATATGTCAGATTACACGCGTACGTGACTTCTTTCAGTCGAGATTATGTTATACTTTTATTTTTCTCGCCGAGATATATTTTTCTCCGTCTCTGTCCGTCTATGCATATCGACGTACCGGGTGCACCGTCGGCACGAAAATCGCCGATCGAGGCAACCGCTGGGAGATTAGATTCGCCACGGCATAATTTCGTATGCATGCACCTCGGCGATGTGCACGCTGTCGGTCTCTCTCTCTCTCTCTTCCCTTTCTTTTTCTCTCCGTCTATCTTGGACATCTTTCCGGCAACCACGGCGGCCACGGCGCGCATGAATAAAGGTGGCATCGTTTTCGCCGGCGGCCTCGCGCGAAGGTGCTTCGGTCGGGGCGAGCGAGAGAGGAGGCCGGGAAACGCATTCGTGTGCGGGTTATAACGCCGGGCCAAAGAGGTACGGATGCTTATGCGGCGCGGGGTAAAGAGCGAATCGAGGAGCGAAGAATACGAAGAGGGGTACGGAGGGAAGCAGCCGGGACGGACAGGCGCCTACGGCGCGGATCCGAGTGGCGCCAGCGCTACGTAAGCGTCAGCGTTAGCGCCGGACGCTCGCTCGCTCGCTCGCTCGCTCGCGCGCGCGCGTCCGGACCGGCGATATCATCCAGGAAGTTACGAGCCGCACCTGTCCCGTCATACTTCTCCTCCTCCTCCTCCCCTTTCTCCTCCTCGCATTAAGTCTCCGCTTTTGCTCGCAGGGCCGTCGTAGCCGCGCGTTTTCATCGCGCCTGCCGATATCCGTCGTGCGTCGCCGACGTCGTCGCAGGTGTTTCGATTCACTGGCGGTTTTCGCGTCGCTCCAAAGTGGAGACTTCCGGCGGGAATCTCATGTCCGGTATGAGAGAGAGAGAAAAAAAAAAAAACGAGCGAGGAAGACGAGATGTTAACGATCGGACACCGTGTATCCGTGTATCCGCCTTTCGGAAGGTCGTTGCTCACGAATGTAATGACGTATACGAACCATCGAATAGAAATTATTTATCGCTCATTATTCATTAGGATAATATGTTGAAAAATATGGACATTCTGGAAAGGAGAAAATACAAGAATCGTTCATCTTTCTCGGTGCTTCATATTATATATATTTCCATATTTCGCAATTTCCATCTTCTCCGAGGCTTAGATTAACTCGGGTTATATTTTATCGCCGTTACTTGAACGCACGTATTTCCTCGTGGCAACCACTAGCAGAAATATCTCGGCAACACAGACGCGAGCCGGTACTAGTGGGTTTCCACGCCCGTGTATACGTCTGTGCGTGTCTCTCGTTTTTATGGAACAATCGTTTTAATCGTCTATTCATATAAATGTATATATATATATGTATATATATGCGCGATCAGTTGATAATATATTTAAATCTGTGATGAGAATTAAGTAGAAAGAGAGAGAGAGAGATACGGCGCCAGCGATTCAGACGACGATTACGCACCCGAGTCCGTCAAGCGTGCAATGCGTCGCGTCGCGTCGCCCGAAGGTGGCGACCGACCGGGTTTTTCCATTTGCAAACGGACATCGTTAATGCCATCCGAATTTCCATAACCGGCAGAGAGCTCGTGTACCGTCTGACTGACAGGTGCACAACATGCTGTTAGCAACGTGAACAATGAAGCGCCCGTCTCGGTCGAGCGCCTTTTATCCTTTGTAGATCTGTTGTTAATTACAATGGACATTTATTTTTATTTTTCTACTTCTCATTTGCAAACGTAAATTAAGATATTTATATACTCGATACATTCGATAATTGATAAGACTAATATACTCTATGCTCGCGTAGACAAGCGCCGAGTCATGACTTCATTTAGTGATCCACATACGCTTCTCTCTCTCTCTCTCTCTCTTTCTCTCTCTTTTACGTGAGATAATATATTTTTATAGGAACTGTTTATCGCGCTCGTCTAAACGTTTACCATCGGCGCCGTGAAATAATATTAGCTATTAGCTATAAAGACCCGTCCAAAGTTTTCTCGTCCGTTCTCGCGATTTCACGCAGATACGCACAAGATTTTACGCGACGCGCAGTGATAAACAACTAGAAGCTCTGAATGATTGGTCATTTTCGACATGCGTTCCAACACGTCGTCTCGGTCCATCGGGGAGTTACTGAAAAAGATTCCGTGCCGGCCCTAAGAATAGCCCGAAACGTCTCCGCGCTTCGCGGAAGATGAATTATAGCGGAATCGTGAGCTGGACCCGCTCGCTGCCGCTGCCGCTTCGAAGAACGACGACGATCGCTCTCCCTCGGAATTTGGAGCGTTGACATCGGCGCCGACGCTATCTAGAGAGTAAAGATACTTGATTATCGGTGAAT